CAGGCCTCCCTATCCATCACCAACTCCCGGAATTTACTCAAACTCATGTCCATTGAGTTGGTGATGCCATCCAACCATCTCATCCTCTGTCATCCCCTTCTCCTCCCACCTTCAATCTTTCCCAGCACCAGGGTCTTTTCACATGAGTCAGTTCTTCACATCAGGTGCCAAAGTTTTGGGAGTTTCAGCTTCAGCATCAGTCCTTCCAATGAATATTTAGGACTGATTTCCTTTAGGATGGACTGGTTGGATCTCCTTGCAGTCCAAGGAACTCTCAAGAGTCTTCTCCAACACCACAGTTCAAAGGCATTAATTCTTTGGCACTCAGCTTTCCTTATAGTCCAACTCTCACATCCATACATGACCACTGGAGAAACCACAGCTTTGACTAGACGGACCTTTGTTGGCAAAGTAATGTCTGCTTTTTAATATGCTGTCTAGGTTGGTCATAACTTTTCTTCCAAGGAGCAAGCGTTTTTTAATTTCATGGCTGCAATCACCATCTGCAGTGATTTTGGAGCCCAGAAAGATAGTCTGTCACTGTTTCCACTGTTTCCCCATCTGTTTGCCATGAAGTGATGGGACCAGATGCCATGGTCTTAGTTTTCTGAATGTTGAGGTTTTTTTTTTTGAATGTTGAGTTTTAAGCCAATTTTTTCACTCTCCTCTTTCACTTTCATCAAGAGGCTCTTTAGTCCTTCTTCTCTTTCTGCCATAAGGGTGGTGTCATTTGCATATCTGAGGTTATTGATATTTCTCCCAGCAATCTTGATTCCAGCTTGTGCTTCATCCAGCCCAACGTTTCTCATGATGGTACACTGCATATAAGTTAAATAAGCAGGGTGACAATATACTGCCTTAAAGTACTCCTTTCCTTATTTGGAACCAGTCTGTTGTTCCATGTCCAGTTCTAACTGTTGCTTCCTGATCTCCGTACAGGTTTCTCAAGAGGCAGGTCAGGTACTTTGGTATTCCCATTTCTTTAAGAATTTTCCACAGTTTGTGGTGATCCACACAGTCAAACACTTTGGCATAGTTAATAAAGCAGAAGCAGATGTTTTTCTGGAACGCTCTTGCTTTTTCAATGGTCCAGCGGATATTGGCAATTTGATCTCTGGTTCCTCTGTCTTTTCTAAATCCAGTTTGAACATCTGGAAGTTCACAGTTCACGTACTGTTGAAGCCTGGCTTGGAGAATTTTGAGCATTACTTTACTAGCATGTGAGATGACTGCAATTGTGTGGTAGTTTAAGCATTCTTTGGCATTGCCTTTCTTTGGGATTGGATTGGAATGAAAACTGACCTTTCCCAGTCTGGTCCCATCACTTCATGGCAAATAGAAAGGAAAAAAGTGGAAGCAGTGATAGACTTTCTTTTCTTGGGTTCCAAAATCATTTGTGGATGGTGATTGCAGCCATGAAATTAAAAGACGCTGGCTCCTTGGAAGGAGAGCTGTGACAAACCTAGACAGCATATTAAAAAGCAGACATCATTTGGCCAATAAATGTTCATATAGTCTAAGCTATGTTTTTTTCTGGTAGTCATGTTAGATGTGAGAGTTGGACCTAAAGAAGAGTGTCAAAGAATTGATGCTTTAAAATTGTGGTGCTGGAGAAGACTCTTGAGCATCCCTTGGACTGCAAGGAGATCAAACCAGTCAATCCTAAAGGAAATCAGTCCTATATATTCATTGGAAGGATTGATGCTGAATCAGAAGCTCCAATACTTTGGCCACCTGATTTGAAGAGCCAACTCATTGGAAAAGGCCCTGATGCTGGGGAAGATTGAAGGCAGCAGAAGAGGGTGACAGAGGATGAGATGGTTGGATGGCATCACTGACTCAATGGATATGAATTTGAGCAAACTCTAGGAGACAGTGGAGGGCAGAGGAGACTAGTGTGCTGCAGTCCATGGGGTTGCAAAGAGTTCAACATGACTTAGCGACTGAACAATGATAACAACAAAATTTGTTGTTTTTAAAATCCTCCATTTAATAAGGAAACCATGGCACAAAAATGAGCATGTTCCTTAAGATTACACAGCTATCCTCCTGAGTTCATTCAGGGCAAGATACACACTTCCAAATAGCAGCATCTCGATGGTAAATGATCATAGTTTTGTTTTGTTTTTCCCCAATGTTGACAGTCTTTTCTGGACTCCCCCTTTAGCTCTGCCTGAAGAGCCCGAGTTACATCAGAGTGGGAAGATGGGTCAATGGAAGATAATAGTTATCAAGACTCTCATTTCACTCTTTCATCTTATATGAGTTTACTGCTCCTCTCTCACTGTAGCATGTAAGCTCTAGGAATGCTGGGCTTTTGTTTTGTTTACCCCTGTATCCGCAGGTACTAGTTCGGCACCTAGCATGATGGATACAGCAAATAGCAGTTGAAGGAATAAAAGGCAGACAGAGGAGGTTTCTGACTTTGGCTCTGTTAAAACTCTCAGCGGTGCAAATGGAGTAGGGGTGAGGTGGTGCACAGATCAGAGATCTGAGGTACTTGTGGGAGAAATCTAGGAGACATTCGATATACGTGTCTAGAAAGTATTTCCCTGAGAATTCCACACCCAAATGCTTATGGGGACCAGGGAGGTGCCAGGAATCATGACAATGGCTTGTTCCTAAACAATGGATTGGAAAGGACAGTGGCAATCTGGAGAGAATACGCCCTGTCTCAAAGGACAGTCAGAGGGAGAGAAGGCAGTGTCAACAGACGATTTTTCAAGAGGAGCTGAGAACAAGAACTGCCAGGTGAAACCTTGTGTGCAAGCCAAGTTTCTCCTGGCCAATCCATTTCTGACTTGTCAGCATGAACTAGGCTTGAGTCCTCCCGAGAAGTCAGGTATGTGTGGCGGTGGCAGAGAATGCTGGATCTGTCTTTCCTAAGGTGATCGATGGGTACACTCGGAACAAGTCAATTCTGGGTAGTTTGGGTGAGAGCCAGCTTTTGCAGCTTATTTAGTAGTCACTTGCTTTTTTAATTATACCAAAGAACGTTAATTGTAAAACGATAGTAGTAAAATAGTACATTTCACAGGATCCCATTTTTTCGTAATATTTTAAGCATACCAAGTAGAGTAACTGGAGGAATATGCCCAACAGTTAAGTGGCCATCTCTGAGGAATGGGATTATAAAGCATTTTTTCTTTATACTAGGTATTTGTGTATTTATAGTTTTATAATGACCATGTACTTAATAAATTAAAAAAATACAGATCTTATCTAACACTAATTACTATGCATGTTCATATACATGTGCAGGTGAACACAAATACCAAATGACTGACAGGGGTTACCTCTGGAAGAGTATGCGGCTTGTGTGTGTTGATAGATGAACAGGAAATTTAATTCTGCTTTCTGTACTCCTTTAATCTTATTGACTTCAGTAACTGCTTTGGATTCCAAAATCCATAGATGCTCAAGTGCTATAGTTGGCCCTCCCTGTCTGTGGTCCCCCATCCATGGATTCAACCAACCACTGATCGCACAGTACTATAAGAAGTATTTGTTGACAAAAGTCTACATATAATTGGACCTGTGCAGCTCAAACCTGTGTTCAAGGGTCAACTGGAATATGTAGTCCTCGCGGTCAAAAAGTATGAAAAACTTCATTGCCCAACACTCCAATCCCTCCAGAGGGAGAACAAATTGCCCAGGTGGAAAGGAGGGTAAAACCTTCATTAGGACATGAGCAGCATTGTCCTCATCCCTACCTGACCACAGGACCCAGCCCAATTCCCCCCAACGTGATCCAAACACACTCAAAGAGGAGCCAAGGGGCCTCATTGTAACACTCGTTTTTATATAAATATCTGCAAGTCATGTTACAGAATAAGCCCCACCGGGGAAAAAAAGTCAACGTTATGTTTTTGTTAAACCGACCCCTGCCTTCTAGGTTGGGCCCCAGCCTGGGGGCACCTGCTGCTTTGGGAAGGCTGGGGCTGCTGCCAAGAGGCTGCTGAAGAAGCTGCCTATGTGGCCCATCCCCAGGCCGACCCCCTTCTTTGGTGTGTGGTACATGGTGACCTTCTCTGGTCCCCCCCTCAGCCTGGGGCAGGGTTCTGGGGGACAGGGTTCTGGAGGGCAGGGCCCAGGAATCCTGGGGGCACTTGGAATAAGAGTTGGGGGGGAACCAAGCCACTAAGAGGTGGAGTATGAAGCTTAGAGGTTGCGCCTTTGGGGAGGGGGGCACAGAGGTAACAGGAGCAGATAGGGGAACCCGGGCTGTCAGTCAAGCAGGAAGCATCTGCCCTTCTTTCTGGCCTAGGTACCCAGGTCCCTTCCCCTGTTGGTCCCCCTCCTTCTGGTCCCCATATTCCCAGGAATAAGCCCTGGGTCCCTGCCTGTCCCCTCCCAGCTCTTCCCCCTTCAATTTCCCCTCCCCCCACAGAGAGGCCAGAGGCTAGGAACACAGCACCAGTCTTAGGATTTAATTAACCAGGAAGGGGGATTATTGGGAGGGGCACCCCTGTAAAAATGTACAAAAGGTCTGGGGGGCTATGTGGAAGGGGAGATAAATATGTACATGGAACCCCCCTTCCTTTAGCCCCTCCTCCCCCAGCCCTGAGAGGGCATGAGGACTTGGGTGGTAGGTGATGAGGAGGGGGGCACTTTGGCCTCTGGCTTAGTGAGCCCTTGGGGAGGCGGGCCAAGGGCCTAGGGGCCCTCAGAAGGGGCGATGGTGCACCTCAGGAGATCATGAGATGTGACCTCTGAAATGACCCCCACTCATGTACACACACTCACACTCTCTCTCAGACACACACACACACACACACACCTCTCTAGAGGTTTGTGTCCTCTGCCCTCCCAGTGACCCCAAGGTCCAACTGATGCTTGATCTCATGGGGGTTGGGACTTCTGCTCCCAGATTCCATGACCTCAGAGGTGGCTGGTGAGGTCATGACCTCTGCCCTCCAGCCCTGGCTTGAAAACCTCAGCTCTAGGACCTTGTCAGAAGAAAGGGGGGATGGAGCTATGCCCCTGCCCCTCCCCTTTCCTCACCTGTCAGCCCGAGCTGGGCCAGGGGCCCGAGGAGGGGAACTAGGCCGGGGGGCGGGCACAAGCGGAGGTGGTGCCCCCAAAAGGGCTCCTGGTGGGGTCTTGCTGAGAAGGTGAGGGGTTCCTGGGGCCGCAGTCGGTGGCGGCGGCGGAGCCAAGCGGCTGTAGAGCAGGGGATGGGCAGGCTCCAGACCGTAGAGGCGGGCGGCGGCCACAGCCCCAGGTCCAGTCAGCTCCTCACCCGCCTCGTAGAAGCGGGGCGGCCTAGCGAGGCGAGGGGGCCCAGCCAACCAGGTTGGCTCCAGGAAGCCAGCACAGCGCTCTGGAGGACTAGGGCCCAGAAATGGGGGTGGCCGGGGCCTCTCAAACAGCAGGTGAAGGCCTTGGGGCCCTGTGGTGGCAGCGGCAGCGGCAGCAGCGGCGGCGGCAGCAGCGGCGGCGGCAGCAGCAGCGGCCTCTTCCTTCCGCTCCTCCTTTACCCGCACTGACTCCTTGGTGGGCCGGGCCCCTTCCTCGCCAGCCCGGGCCTTGGGAGTAGCAGGAGAAACTCGGAGCTGGGGCCGGGAGAAGGGGAGGTCCCTGGGGGAGGTGAGGAAGGAGAGGATGAAGGAGCTTAGAGGGATGGCGGGCAGGCAGGCAGAGGGCTGGGCAGGCGGGGAGCACATGAAACCACACCTGTCCTTCTCCTCCTTGGTGAGAGAGGGCTCCCTTCGCTCCACTGGCCGCTCCTTGTCTGAGCCCGGAGTCCGGGCGGCCTCAGGGGGCCGGACCCAGGCAGGAAAGGCCAGAGGACTGCGGTGCAGGCGGCCCCATGGGTCTGGGGGGGAGGCGAAGGCTGGTGGGGCCCCTGGGCTTTCTTTCTGGGCAAAGACGGCGCCGGAGTCTAGACAGAGGACAGAGCAGAAGGTGATGGGAGCCAGGCGTGGTAGGGCCCACTCAGGCACCCACCTGGCCCCCTGCCTGGGCACAGCAACCCACCACCCTAGCCTCCACTCCACCTCTCCCCATCCCCTCCAGCACTCACTGAATGTGGGGCTGCCTAGGCCTCCAAAGGCCCCGTTGGAGAGGGCAGCCAAGGAGGCAAAGCTTGTGGGACGCCCAAAGGGATCTGTGGGAAAAAGGGGGGGACGGTCAGAGCACTGGGCGGCAGGCTCCGAGCAGGCATCATGGACTGGCAGAGAAGAGGCTGGTCAGCAAGCAGGCCCTGGAAAGGTACTGAGGTTTAATGTGCCATGTGTTGTTTAACGGCATAAGTTCCATGAGGGAGGTGGGATCATTCCCACTTAAGGATGATGAAACAGGCTCAGAGAGGTGAAGTGACTTGCCCATCAATGGTCATCTAACTGGACCTCTGACTCCAAGGTCAGGCTCTTACCCCACATTCCCCTACACCCACCACCCAGGCCAGCTCAACAGCCAGCCACTCACCTCAAGAACCTCTGCTAGCTGCCTCCCACCTGCATGCAACTGAACCCTGACTTTGTGTGTATGTCACATGGCCAGTGAGAACACCTAACTTTCCAGCTTGGGAAATGTCACAATTGCCTCTTCTAGAACACCTTTCACTGGGCCAGCCGGCTCAATTCCTCCTTGTTCATCCAACTAGGATAAATCTCCCCAAGAAGCTGGCCGAGACCACTGGGAGCCAGGGACCATGCTGCACAGCCTTCCTCCACAAACCTCTCCCCCCACCCCTAGCTATTTCAGACAGTGACTGAGCTGGCAGGGACTGGTGATGACTCTGCCCTTTGATATCCCATTTTACAGATTATGAGATCAAGGCTCAGAGCAGGGAGAGTAACCTGCTCGAGGTCACAAAGCATGTGAACCCAGGTCTACCCTCCATTCCAGTTGCCTCTCACGTCTAATTTCAATCCCCCGTTTAACACCTCCAAAAAGTCAAGGTCAAGGCCTGGGTTGCCCAACATGCCCTTGGCTCTTACCAATGTGGGTGCTGGGACTCAGAAAGGGTCCGTGGGCCCCGGGAGCTGCCGTGAAAGGGTTGGCTGCAGCATGGACGGCACCTGGGACAGAGAGGCGGATGAGGCTGACTGTGTGCAAGGTGGGCCTCGGGCTACAGGTGGGCACCCTCAGGCCCAAAGAGGGCTGGCCAGACTCACCAGTCGCAGTGAAGAGGGAGGCGGCCGAGTGGGAGAGCTCCTGCCCAGGGGGCAGGGCCCCATAGGGCCCCGGAAGGCAGGGCAGGAGGTCATTCCGAAAGTCAAGCTTGTGGGAGTCGCCCTGCATGGGACAGGGAGAGGGGCAGTGAGTGAGGAGGCAGGTGTGGTCCCGCTCTTGCTCTTCCACCCTGAGGCGCCCTCCGAGAGCTGGCTGGTGCCAAGGGAGGGTTAGCATGGGCCTCTGCCTCTCTCTGAACCTTCTCTGACCACCCCCCAGTTAGCAAGAGAACTTAGTACTGACTGCGGAATTGCTCAGGCAGTGACCAGGGATAGGAGAGGACGTTTCTGGCCAAGATTCTGCCAAGCTCCACTGAAGGCAGACGCCCAGAGCTCAGGCAGGCCCGCTTTCCCCAGCCCTCCGGCCCCAGTACCTTCATCTTTTCCTGGTGTCTCAGGATCATGTAAGCCACACGCACGTGCATGGCACACCACTTCCCTGGTTTCTGCCGCCCCAGAAGGATGACCAAAGGGAAAGGGAAGGAAAGAACATTCACTCATCACCCACTCCAGACCTGGCCCTGGGCCCAGCCTCGCCACACAACGTCCCCACTTGTCAACCCCTACAAGTGAGGGGTTAGGACTAGGTTCATTCCACAGCCTAGGAAACTGAGGCTCAGAGAGAGAAACAGTCTTGACCAAGGTCCCACGGCCTGCTGTGTGTATACCCAGGCTTGCAGTTTGCAAGCCTTTCATTTCCTGCTGTTCCATCTGGCTGCCTCCACGTCTTGGGCTTCTGGCTTATTCCCAAGCAAGACCCACCCCTCAGACAAACACGCTGACGCCAGCCCCCAGCCTCATGCAGCCTGAGGTCCTCACCAAACTCACCCTCAAAGGTGGCCGGAAATGGTCAGGGATCTGGGAAGGGCAAAGCAGAGATTGGCAGCAGTTCAAACCTGTTTACTGACCTGGGCACCTCATCTCCACAGTCCCCAATGTCCCGCCCACCCAAGCACCTCCCTAAAACCTGTGTAGCACCCTCAAATCCTTCCTTTTCCCCTTTTCTCCCACTCCGGGCATCTCCCTTCCAGCACCAAGTTACTGAACCTGGCCCCAAGGAGATGCCCTGCCTGGAAGGCTGTAGAATGGGTTAGTGGGCAGGCAGGTTTCTCAAAGAGTAGCTCTCTGATTGACAGCTTCACGTATAATGAAGATCTGCAAAGATTCCTTTAGAAAAATGCCTTTTCAATTGTTAAAGGAAGCTGGAAAACCTCTGGTCTAGTCTCTTGTTTAGGAAATACATCCTATGCTTTTCACGATGTTCCCGGAGCCCCGGGCTTTAAGGCTGCTGCCCATGTCTCGTCACAAAGGGGCAGCTTATCTTTTCATTAAGGACAGAACTTCCTGGTATGATGTCATTTGAAAAAAAAAGAATGCTGTGACTTAAAAAAAACCCTGAAAACCCTTATAAAAACTACTGTCCTAATAATCTTATTTCTGGGGCAACTTCACAAAATTCCTATTCCTCATGCCTGAGAAAGCCTTCACCAACAGAAATTCCCTCTCCTCAGATTCTCAGGGATACCGCTGATCACATATTAAAGGGAGGGATCAGGGGGTCACTCTCAAGTCAACACTGCTCTCCCTCAACAGATCTTCGAACTCCCCAAGGACCTGCCTTGACCCCCCTCACCTGTGTCCCCTTTTGGGGAAGCCCGCTCGGCACTGGCCCCAGTCGTGGTGGCAGCTCGGGGTTCGTGCTCTGAGAAAGGGGAGTGGAGGGATCAGTCAGAAGAGCTGATGCCAGGCATAAAAGGGGGCTAGAATCAAGCTGGGGGCTGGGATGGGGAGGGAGTACGGCTTTGAAGAAACCTGGATCTACAGGGTGAGGGCAGGAGGAGGGGCGTGGTCTGGGGGAACGAGAAGGTCCATGGTTCCGGGGGTGTCTGGGTTTTTAAGGGGTGGGAGGTGGTGGTGGTGTCTGGGTTGGGAGCTCACCTTGGGCTGGAAGGCCCCCTGCAGGGAGCCAAAGGAGACAGCCGGCGGGAGGCCCGGAGGGAGGCCGGGCACTGCGGGAGGGAAGGCCGTGTACGGCTGCAGAGAGAAGGGGACTGGTCCAACTGGGGGTGGAGGTGCAGCGCAGGTCTGGTCTGCTCATCGGTCCCCTGGCCTCCACCCTAGACCCCCCACCTCCCCCAGGGAGCTCTCCCAGGCTCAAGGCTCTTGCTTTGGAAGCTGAAGACCAGACCCCCACAGTCAGGGCCACACACACTGATATATCCATGCCCACGCACCACACACACACACTCACATTATGCCGGAAAAGGCCTTCCATCTTTCCTGGATATTTCTCAAACTAGGGAAGAGAAGGGAAAAGTAAGCTGCCAGCCAGGAACCCAGGGCTTTCCCCTGGAAGCCACACCCTCCCCCCCAGGTCTCTGAGCCTCATCACTGGCCCAATGAGGAGCTCACCATGTGGGGGCCGTGGGGTGGCAGCAGGCCCGGGGGGTAAGGGGTGAAGTGCTGGTGGGTGTGCTGGTGGGTGTGCTGGTGCTGGTGGTTGTGCTGGTGGAACTGGAAGGCCAGGGGCCGGGCTGAGCCCCCTGCCCCCACCACCTCGGGGCCACCCTGGGCATTCAGGTAGCGAGAGTTCAGGTCCTGGCCGATCAGGTCCTGCTCTGTGGGAGGGGAGGGGGAGAAGGCTTTAACATCTGTAGCCACCATGGCAGCCTCCTTGGGCCCGGGTGACTGGCCTTCCCTTCTGGCCTTGGGCCACTCCCTCCTCAAGCCCTGCTGCCTGCTAAGGTCCAGATGCCCCGAAGTCAAACGGGCCCAAGCCCAGGGCCATGGCCCCCCGCCCCCCGGCCAGGATCCCAAACTCACCAGAAAGGGCGTTAGCGGCTGAGGCCCCAGGGTGCCCTGGCACCTGCAGCAGGGGTGGGGGTGGGGGCAGGGTGGGGCCAGGGGAGAACAAGGAGGGATGGTGGGGTGGTGGGGGGGGCCGAAGCCCAGGAGGGGGGAAGCTGTGGGTGGATAAAGGCAGGGGCAGTGAGGGCGTCGGGGGCCGGTGGGTGAGCTGCGCGGACGAGGAGGAGGCAGATGAGGAGGAAGAGGACGAAGAGGATGATGAGGGGGGAGGTTGAGCCACGGGAGGGGCCGGGGCCTTGGGGGGCGGCCGTGAAGAGCTGGGGAGAGAAGTGGGGAGATGAGTGAGGGGCTGGGAGGTGCCAGCTCTGACGGGAGGGGGTCAGAAGCCTGGGATATACCTTGACCCTGGTTCTCCAACATGGAAAGTGGTAGAACCTGGCCCCCAGGACCCCTACCCCCAACCCAGGGAACCCATCCTCAGACGGAGGTACCTCCCACACCCAACAACCCCCCCACCTCCTGTCTCTTCTTCCACACAGATGCCTCTGACGCCCCTGGTCTTTCCCTTTTCTGACTCAATCACAGCACAAAACATATCATTCACTTTGACGCTTAATTACAACAGGCCACCTGGGTTCCCACCCGAAGACAGTGGAAGCAGCACTGCGCTGGTCTGGTGTAGGAGTCAGGAGGCCTGAATTCTAGGCCCATCTTGCCATTAACACCCTGGGTGACCTTGAGCAAGTCACTGCCTCTCTCTGAGCCTTAGTTTTCTCAATAAGGGAAAAAATGATAATGATGATAACAGTAACAACAAAAATTGCATCAATCATAGAAGTGTCATTAATTCTTACCCTTTAGTGAGCACTGAGTGTATGCCAAGTGCTGTCATCTGCGTTATATGCTAATCCAAGTCCCCAACATTCCACATCACCTTCCCAACTGCTGCCGTATCCCTGGGACCCCTTGTACCGTTTACTTCTTTAAACTTAACTCAGTTTCTTTTTCACTTGGCCTCACCAAAGAGCAATGTGTAAAATTAAGGGGCTGAGGTACTACTTGTATGTTTTTTTAAAACACATGAAAGCTGAAAAAATTTTACTCACGTACCAGCTGAATTCTCTCACACACCACTAACAGAAGAGTACACACTTTGGGAAACACTGCATTAACTCATAATTAATCCTCACAACAGCTTTAAAATGAAAGTACTATTATTATTTCACTTTACAAAAAAAAGAAATTGAGGCTCAGAGAGATTAAGTGACTTGTCAAAAATCACACAGCCATTAAGTGGCAAAGTAAGAATTTGAATCCAGGTCTGAATGACACCAAAGTCAGCACTCTTAGTCATCATGTCAGCATTTCCCAAAGTATGTTCCAAACAACACTATTCCTAAGAAATGTGCCTTGCCAAAAAAAAAAAAAAAAAAACCAACTTGGGAAATAAAATTGGGAAACGGCACAAACTGGATTCCTCTGCAAGTGAACGTATGAAGGGTTCTGAGAAGTACTTAGTAATCTCTTTAAATTTGTCCCACAGTATCTCTCAAATTTTTCAGCCCCCCCAAACCCTTTTCAAGTGATATCCCACAGGAACCAACCCATGTCCCCAGACACAGAATGCAGGGGTTGGCACAAAAATGACCAGGCCTTTCCAGACCCGGCCAGACCCCCCACTCACTCACCTGCCAGTGCTGAGGTCCAGGCTGCTGCCATAGGGGGAAGTGCGGAGGCCAAAAGGCGAAACCCGAAGCTGCAGCTGGGGCTGGGGTGGGGGTGGCAGACTGGGGGCGGCCGGCAGGGGTGCAGGGGGTGAGACAGGAGGCCGAGGGGCCGGTGGAGGCGGTGGTTCCTTTGGGGGGAAAGGCACTAGCAGCGGGTCGGGCCCTGGGGGCTGTTCCTGGCTCCGCTCCAGGCCCGACACTTTAGGGACTACGGAGAGTTTGGCTTCACAGTTCCCATTGAAGGCGCCGTGGGGGCCCGAGGCTGTGAGGGCAGGACGGCAGACATACTCAGTTAAGGACCATGCTCACCCAGTTTCCCTCCCTTGTCTCCAACCCCAGCCCTTGGGACCAACCTTTGCTGGTTGAGACAGTAAAGGACGGGTCGAGGTCATCATCGGAGACCTGGGGAAGAAGGACAGGGACACAGTCAGGTTCTGGTCAGGTCAGGCCTTCACCCAGGAAGGCCAACAGCCTCTGGAGTTGGCTAGGCACTGGTAGTGGTGACAAGTCTATTCCATCAGCTTAGCTGAAATCCACCAAAGACTGTGGGCTCTAGGAGGCCCTATGCTCGGGGAAAAGGGTAGGGCGACTAAGCCTGCGCATCTGATAGGCCAGGAAGACTGAATTGAGGCAGTACTGAAGTTAACGGAGAAACAGGCAATTCACGGCAAAAATGTCAGATATCACTAACTGCTGGTCCAGACGGTCTACCGGGCTTATAAATATGTTTGGTCCATAAATCAGCAAAAGTTTTAAACTAACTGCGACTACTTAGAAATCTGGAGGTTCTTCATAAAAACTCAAGATTCAGGTTCTCTTGACAATGGGCTCCCACTCTCCTGATAGTGTCCGATCAGATGGACAAGGGCTATTTGCTTCACCACAAAAGTCCCTGTCCAGTCAACTTTTTATACTATAGCAAGACACACATCAGAGAATACACGTTTAGTTACTGACAGGAGAAGAGCATCAACTGCTAGAACACACTTTCAAAGCTAGCACATCAGCTCTAAGGACAAAATGAAACACACCTTTATAGCATATGTTCTTACACTGTGTACAACAGTTTAGCGTCCTCACTGCCGTGACGATGGTCTACAGACTCTAATCTATAGGAGCAGACTCTAATCTATAGGAGCAGACTAATAACCAGCAGGAAGAACCAACTGGGTTCCATAGCCACCCTGGGTTTCCGTGGAGAACCACTGGTATCTCCGAGCGCTTTGGAAAGGATAGCACAGCAAGGCGTAGGCCTTTGATTCTTTGGTCAATTGGCTCCAATTACCAAATAAAACTTGTCATTTACTTTCTCAATCCCCGCCCCCACCCTGCCCACCTGCCCCAGGCATCCTCCCCCAAAATCTATTTCTGGCTCAACTTAACTCACCTTCCCCACTTAAGGGAAGGCTCTATCTGCTGCACAAGGAGACCTTTAAGGCACAGTTCATTTTTTTTTTTTTGGCACAGTTCATTTTATGAGCTTTACTACTGCCCACCCAACAAGTTCTAGCCCCACTCACCCTCTCGTCCAGATCACTTTCTGCATCACACTGGGGAGAAGGAAAGACAGAGGTGTCACAACAGGGAAGAGAAGGGGGGCCCAAGGTCAAGGGGAGTTTCAGACAGGGAGTGAACGGGGAGGGGCCTGTACAGGTGGAGAGCACTTACTATGTATCCAGCTTCCAGAGAATGACGGGAGGAGGCCTGAGAAAGACCAGAGTCCAGAGGTAAGGGAGGCCGGCTGGCAGGCCTTTGGATTAGTCTAAGCTCCCTGGCAAGGCGCCGAAGGCCCCTCACGACATACTCTCTGTCTCCTTCTGGTCCCCACCCAGTCCCCACTGCTCTGGCAACTTTTCAAATCTACCAGATTCTCACATCTCTGCGCTTTTGCCCAAAACAACTTAGCCCTATTTCTCTTCTCAGCAAACTTATGACTATCCTTCAAGGCCTGACTAAGACATCCCAGGGGGCTTTCCCTAACCACAACCCTCCTCCCATCCCCCAGGCAGAATGAGTGGCTTCCTCATGTGGGTTTCTGCAGCATCTCTCCCAGATCTCTACCTTCTGGTGCCTCTTAAGTTTTGGTCTAGATGTTTGCTTAAAGATTATTCTTTCCTACTAGACTAACATTGAATTGAAAAGGGGTGCAGAGACCATATCTAATTTATGATTCAACTATGTCCTTTTGATATATCTCTGAATTATCATTATGTTCGAGGCAGACCCAGTATCAGCCAAAAGCGGGCAAGTCTGACTGTGGACGTGTCTTTATCAGTCCGGGATAGGGCAGTAGGAGCTCAAATATGCTCTGCCTTTCTCTTTGTCCTTAGAGACTGGGGTCACTTCACCACGGGTAGCGGCACTGCTGACAGAAAACGGGTCTATGTGAAGAACATTCGGCTCACAGAGTTTTAAAGGACAGGGATCTGGGACAAGCTCACCTCTTTCCTTCTCCGCTTATTGGGCCATTTTCGGGCCCGATCCCCAGAGGGCCGGCCAGGCTCTCGATCAGAGCTGTCCCCTGGTTCCCCAGTTGCCCCACTGGAGCCCCCCCTCTTCCGCTTCCCAGAATGCTTCATCCGATGTTCCAGTCGCTCTGGGGGCTGAAGAGACGCATCCTTCTGTGGAGGAGGAGGTGGGACTAAAGTACATGGTGGAGAAAGGAAAGCTCCCCACCTCTCTGGGGGTGACCAAGCTACCAAAGTGGCTCTCGGGGCCGGTAACCTGGTTGGTCCCTGGAGACTAGCTCTACCTCCTCCCACCCCAGGGTGGGGCAGAGGCCTGGCCAGAGAAGCCGGTTGCTCTGGTTTGGGGTGCCAGCATTCCCCCCTCAACTCCACCCACTCCAGGCACCGTACCCTTCTCTCTGGCCCTCTGAAGCCCCCCAAGGGTCCCTGGCCCCAACAGGCCCCACCTGCAAGGCCTCGAGGCTGGCGAAGCTGGCGATGGCGAAGCCATCGATCAAGTCCTCCTCCTCTTCTTCCTCCTCCTCAGGCTCTTCCTCGGCCTCCCCATCGTCTGCGCCCCCCTCCTCCTCCTCCTCGTCTTCTTCCCCGCGGCTGCCCGAGCCAGCAGGCCGCTTCCGAGCTCGGGGTCGCGGGGGCCGAGGCCTGGGACGCGGCCGCCGCCGTCTCGGGCCTCCGGGCCGCTCTCCAGACGAAGCTGACGACCACGGCCTGGCGGGCGGCGGCGGCGACGACGAGGACGAGGAGCCGCGCGGGGCGGCCAACAGGGCCCGGGGCGCGTCGCCGCCGGGACCTCGGCGGCGCCGCTGCTCCCGGTCTCGGTCTCGGCGCGAGCAGCGCCTCCGCCGCCGCTCCCCCTCAGTGGCCCAGCCCGGGCCCGGAGCCGCGGCCGCTGCCGTCTCCATGGCGACCGCCCTCAGCGCCGCATCCGGAGGCGGCGGGCCCCGGAGCGGCCTGTCCGCAGGCCAGGGGTCGCAGGCGCGGCGCTGGCGGCTGCACAGGGAAGAGAGGGCCACGGCTTTCCCTTTAAAGCAGGATCTGCTCGCCCCGAGCGTGCCCCAAGGCCAAGGCCCAGGGAGCCGGCGCCGCCCCCGGGGCGACAAGCCCGAGAGCCCCCCCTGTGGGGCCGGCGGGGCCGAGACAGCAAAAACGGGGCGGCCGTCCCTTTAAGGCAAGGCCTCAAGTTGTCCAGTCCCTGACTCCTTTAAGACTACCCGACGGTGTCCGACCGGCCTAGTTCGGTGGCCGCCCCCTACCAGGGGTCGAGACAAGTCTCCCCGAGGAAGAGGAAGGGCCACCCCTTTAAAAGGGGCCGAAAGCTCGCCCCGAAACGTCGACCTCCCCTTTAAAAGTGCCTCAAGTCCTCCGGCTAAAACAGGCCACCCCTTTAAGGAGTCCAGGGTTCTCCAAACAGCAGGCCGCCCCTTTAAGGGCTCGGGAGTTAGTTTCTAGTCCTCCACAAACGGCCACTTCCCCTTTAAGTTGAATTTAAAGGACTTCTTGCGTTGAGAAGTGGCGATGAGAATCCCCTACTCGCTCCAATTCTCCCAACAGCACAGTTCTCAATTTGTCAGCGTCTGTTCGGTGGCTTCCCCTTTAAAGGCTGGCGTTGTAGTCCGCCGAGATCGGTGGCCACCCCTTTAAGGAGATTTAAAGGGGCCTCTTCAAGGCCCAGCTCTTCCAGCCTCCGCCTCCGGTCGCCATGAAAGGCGCGAGGTGGGGGGCGGGGCCGAGGGGGCCACCCCTCCAAAGCCCCGGATGTGAGGCAACGGTGACGGGTAGAGCTTGTCTGTCTGCCGACATAAAAGTCTCTTCCTTCTTTCCTCCGTCTCTGTCTGACGTTCGCCTAAAAGAATCCGGAACGGCTGCTGGGCAGCTGGGGAGCTCCAGCTCACCCTCCTGTCGTCTCTTTTGGAGTCTTGGGCCTCTTCTCCGCCAGGACTTCCCTGCCCCTCCTCCCTCTTCCTCCTCAGCCTACGCCTCCTTCCTCTCTCTGTCTCCTCCCACTTTCCGCCCCCTACCCCTCACCCCTCTACAGGCTTAGCCGTTGATAGGCTGAGAAGTGTACGTCAAGTTTAAGGGGCGGAGTCAAACGCGGGAGGGAGGGAGTGAGTAATATGTAACCGCCCTCAAATCTTGGATTTGGTATACGTCAGATTAGCTCCGCCCCTCATCAAGTCTTGTGACTCAACTGGTTAGAAGTAGGTACTTGGGGCGGTCCTCCAGGTGACCCCGCCTCTTCCTGCTCTTCGTTTATTGGCTACTCTGCTGACGGCGTCTAAGCCGAGGATCTGGATCTAGTGTGCGAGTCGTTGGGGGCAGTTGGCCGCTGGGTGGCGCGCGGCCGCGGAAGGACAGTGTCGACTGCCAGTTATGTCTTCTCTCCCTTTCTGCCACTTGGCTTAGTCCACAGGCTGTCTAGCGTCTCGCGCACGCGCGTGATGCTACAACCATCAGGCTGGCAGCTCAGCGGGATCCCCCGCCGTGCCGGGTGGTTAGAGCACGCGGCTTGAGAGTGCCAGCCGTAAAGGAAGCTTTCGCGTCCCGTTATTGCTCGGTGCAGTAGGAGTGCTGGCCTGGGGTCTGCGTGCTAACAAGAAAAAAAGTTTGCTTTGTGTGCCGGACACCTTCTCACATAGAAACTCACTTGACAGAAGTCTCCTGGAAGGTACTACCATCAGCCCTATATTACAGGCGAGGGGAACTGATACACTTTCAGTTTCCCAAGCAGATTTACTCAGGAAGCTTAGCTCCAGTCTGTATTCCTGGCCACTATTCTACCTTTAAGTTATGAAAGATGTAGTGTGCCGCTTGTTCTCTGGTTGCCTAGGTTTCCCTTTTAATGTGGACATTACACTGACAGCTTGCTTTCTCATGTATAAAATGGGTGTAATTTTCATAGGGCTATTTGTAGGTCAAGTACCTGTGACAGGTTGTTGTAGGTGCTTAATTTTAACTGATTATTATTAGTTCTTGAGTCCAACAACACATTCTTGGCCTGTGTGTTAGAAGGAACTCAGAGCTATCTAGAACAGGGCCTTAGTCCACTCTAGGACTTTCAGCCTCCTTTTTTCTTTGGCTGTGCCACGCAGTGTGCGGGCTCTTAGTCCTCCAACCAGGAATGGAACCTGCAGCCCCTGCAGTGAAAACATGGAGTGCTAACCCCTGTATCACCAGGGCATTCCCTCAGTCCCTGACCAGGGTCCCAAATCACAGTATCTTCTGGAGCAGATTCATAAGTATCCCTCTGCATAGGAAAATTCTCAACCCAAGAAGGTATATCCAATGACCATTCTTCTACCCTGTTCCCTATATCCTACTTCATGGTCTTTCCTGGTGCCACCCTCATTTCCCAGTTTTGCAGGCCAAAGTAGAAACATCAGCCAGTACTGGCAGTGAATCTCAAACCCTGCTACAGACATACAGAAGAATCAGAAACATATCGAAAACTTTACTAGAAATATAGAGAAAAAATTATAACTGCCTCAGAGACTCCTCCCCCACCCCCCGAGGACGCATGGACAGACAAACAGATGGAGCTTCTAAGTCCGATGGGGCCGATCTTGATCCCCTTCCTCCTCCTCCTCCAGGAGTGAGGCATCCAGCTCCTGGAGTCGCTGTTGCAGCAGGGGTTCTACATCTGGGCTGGGGGCCAGATTGGGAGGAAGGGTCCTGCCAGCTGTAGCCCGGGCCCCGCGAGATGGCCGCCGGGATCGAGGAAGACTGCTGTCCCGAAATTCTACAGTCCGCCGGAGCTTCCTTGAGCTGGTGAAAATCAGAGTCCCATTGCGCTCCCGAGGTTCCTCAAAGATGGTTTCAAAAGTCCTGGACCAGGCAGGGAGGAGTCCAGGTTACCAGCACGCCCCCTGATTCCAGTTTTCCCTCTGTCACCCCTAAGCCTTCAAAGTTTCTCACCTCCTGGTTGTGGGTGACTGGTAATTCTTGTTGGTGTAAATTTCTTCCAAGCTGAACTCCTTCTTGTTTAACCTACGAGCCAAGAGCAGAGGTCACTGAGAAACCTGGGGCCAGTGGGCCTGGAGAAGGGATAAATAAGGCCTGGTCTATATTTCAGTTTCTAGGATCTGCCAGGAGCCAGGAGTGCTGCCTGAGGCAGACAGATGGTTCTACATGCAAACCACGTCCATATCAAACGGACTCCTCCAAGCTGGACCGAGAGGAAGCAGAGCCACACTCGGGACCTGAGCCTACACCTGCTTCAGATCCATGTACAACAAGCTTCTCACCTGACTGGCCGAGGCAGCCCCATTGGTGTGAGGTTTATTTGAGAACGGGCCGGTGTCCTGCGTATTCTGAATCGAGAAACCTTCCCAATGGTCTGCAGAGATGGGGCAGAGGGTAAAAAGTCCACAAGCGTGGACTTAGGCTCCCGCTTGTCTCCTCCCTGTTCACCTGCACCCCTACCTTGGTCTCGGGGTCTGAAAGCACCTGGTCTTCTGGGGCCCTTGGCTCCTTTCTCTTGGTTGAGCTCAACCTGTAGAGAAGGTCAAGGCTCAGAGCCAAACAGCATTCCCAGCTACCTCCCCCTCTCCTGCCCATTGGATACTAGGGTAGGAGGCTGGGCCCCCTCCTGTGACCAGAGCTTTAAGGAGGGTTTATCAAGAGCACTACCTGGGTTCTGCAGGTTCAGAGAAGGAAGAGGTGGATGCAGTAGACGAGCAAGATGTGACGAGGGGAGGAGAGCCTCCCACTCCTCCAAGAGGGAAGACCTCTTTCCGGAGACAGGGCCGAGGGGGTGGTGGGGCTTTGGCCATCTCTCCACCACCCACCGTGTGCCGCCGAGGCCGTGGCCGGCTTGGGGGGGCTGGAACAGGGGGCCAGCTGCAGAGATCTGGGCCAGGGGGCCCCAGGTCAGGGCAGGAGTGGCTTCGGCCCAGAGAGGGCTTAGTGAGAGGTGCTGGGGGGTTCTGGTCTTGGGTCCGCCATTGGCGGATAGGGGGCCGGGGACTGACTGCCACAGTGCCCTCAGCAGCCCCGGACTGCCCGGCCTCTGAGATGGCAATCTTCAACTCCAACTTCATGGGGGGTGATGGGGGCGGGGGCCGCGGGGCTTTGTTGGGTGTGAGGAAGATGTCAGCAAAGCTCTCCAGCTTGGAGCGGACGGAATGGAAGAGGGGGGCCAAGCCCCAGGGACTGAGGCGGGGGCGTAAAAGGCTGGACGGCGGTGGGGTCGATGGGGGCTCCAGAACAGGATCTGGGGCTGAGGAAAGGAGAGGGTCAGGTGCGTATTCCTCAGCTGCAGGTGTCTAAGCCCCACTTCAGTAGCCTTAGTCCCTCCCCCAAACACTAACCTTTGCCCCCTGAGGAATAAGCCTAGCCCTAGAATACCCAGCCTTAAGTTCAGAAGTTAAGCTTTAGGTCTCTGAAGTCTAAACTCCATCTTCACACACCAAGCTCTGCCCTGAGAGGGGGGTTAAGCCCCATCCCTACCTCTGCACCTGACACTTCTAAGCTCAGCTAGAATTTTCCAGAACCCTCCTCCTCATCCATCTGAGTCCTTACCTGGTGGTGGGCTCGCCAGAGGGTTTGCAGACAGGGCAGATGGATGGGATGGGGCTGGCAGGTCCTTGGACGGAGGCTTTGGCTGGTGAACCATCACCTTGGGCTCAGCTCTGGGGTGAAGGGGCAAGTTAAAGACAGAGGAACCTTTCAGATTCAGATCCCACCTGAGCCAGGACCTCCCCTGTCCCTTAATGCTTCTGAAGGTGCTACAAGGAAGCACTGGACATGTAAAGTCTGATGCCCCTAGCTTTGGCTGCCTGGATAAGAGCTGCCACCTACACATCTTCATAATCCCTTCCCAGCCCTCTCACCTTCTCGCTGGGACGATGAAGTTGGGAGCCTCATCAGCAAAGCCCTGGATGTAAACAGGGGGTGTTTATGGGGA